TGCTCATACAGCTACAGGTGACTGCCTCTTCTCACAACATAGAACACATCATTTAAGTTACATGGAAAATGGCAGGCTACATACAGAACACTGATCAGGTATTCCGTGTTAAAAAAGGAAAAAAAAAAAAAACAATACAATACAGAAAACCAGTTTGTTCTCATTTCAACACTTCAGATCCCTTTGACATTATGCTACACTCCAGCCTTGTCAGTAATGCAGAATTCTGCAAAGGAAAGAATCAAAGATGTGCAAACAAAGCAGGAACCCAGGGACATGCTCCTATGTGCTGACGCGCAGCTGCACCAAGAAACAGAAGTACAGACTTAAAGCAGCGCTCCAGAGTCTACCTAGCAGCTTCTGATACTGAAAGCACGGTCTATGGTTTGTATTAGATGCTTGCATAGTTAGTAAATGCATGCATTTGGGTACAGCGAGAGAACTGCCATGCAAAACTGCCGTTATTACTGAGAAAAAATGGTTGATCATGCTCAAGTTTCAGCCTTGGAAAGCAAACAACCCTGCAGCTAAGATGGATGAGGGCACTTACAGTGGAATAAGTGTACTGTAATTAAGCTGCTAATTTTCTACCCTAAGCATCTTTTTTTTTTATTTAGCCATATTTGATAAGTTTGAAAGGGTTAACAATTTATACACCCAAAGTGAGACACTTATAAGTTACAGAGAACTGCAGGCACCAAATTGTCTATCAAATGTGATTAATACAAATAAAAGGTGCCTCTTTAATAGATGTCATTGAAAATGTGCTTATAATTTGTATACTACTAAACACTATCCAAAAGACACAGCCCAAAAAGGGTAAAAATAATTTCTTTAGGTGATTTTTAGGAATCCAGCACTGGAATGAAGGCGCTGCTTTCCTGCGCCCAGAGGGCCGGTTCCAGGAACAGGAGCAAGTGTCAGACTAGAGATGTGGTGTGAAACACGAGTTACACATGGCCGATGCAGGTGAGTTCAACCCAAAGTTGACTGGAAACACATCATAAAACCCTGCAGGAGTTGAAGCCTGCTTTCCCTTGGAGCTCACACAGCTGTTTGAGAACAGCGACAGAGCTGGACCTCCCCCCTTTGAAGGCGTTTCTCACCAGCGTGAGGCTGCCTGTAAACCTTTGCTTCCAGACCATCAGCTCCAAGGTCCCAGACTCCACCACCCCAAGCCAGGACCACAGCCCATTCCACACACGCCACGGCTGTGCATGACTGGCAAAGCAGAGCCGGACAGCAGCCGTTCTCATCCTGCTCAGACACCCAGCCACAAGACCTCCAGGCCCCATGTCCCATCACCCAGGGAAAGGTGGGGTGACCTTTGGAACATTGCAGAGCCCACCTCCTCCACAGGCACGAGTGCTCCTGAAGCCAAACCTGAATTTTAAGAAGAGAGGTGACCACATAGAAATGGCAGCTTTAGAACAGCCTCGAGCCTTCACTTCTTTAAGGATCAATACAGAAAGCCAAGGCAGCATTGGCATCTAGGACTTGGAAGATCCCTCTCTGGAGTGTTCCTTAGACTGTGCTACATCCTTACATCTGGACAACACGATACACATGGACAAGAATTCCTATGCATGAAAGGGCTAAGAAATAAGCCTGCTTTAAAGCAGGGAGAGAAAACTGATGTTGCTTTTCCCCCAATCACTTTAAGTAGGGCCTACAATAATCTACACTCAGTTTTATAAAGATTTACTCTACATCACTGATGGAGCCATGACTTTAACAGCAATTAGGCTTTGTTTTATACTCACAGCGAACACTTATTTCCTGGACGCACACCCTTCAACCCTCTCCTTTGCAAGGAAGTTCATATACTACTGGAAATATGTGATACCAAAAAGCGGAGATGCAGAGTGGCAGCAAACAGCTGCTTTCCAAACTGTTTTGGTACAGATAGACACAGCCACAGAACAGGGACTGCACTTCCCAGGTCCTGCACAGACATGCTTTGCACATTTTGTGCCTTATATTCAACAGGAATTACAGTGCACCCTCAAAACATTTTGCATGAGGACACCCTAAGTCAAGCCTTCCTGAGCCAGAAAACACGCCACATGCTGGCAGCCCGCCGCAGAAGAGCGGGATCTTATCTGCTTTAAGACGAGGGCATTGTCAGTACGGTCTCTTCTGCCCACACCATGCTCATTTGCGGAGCGAGGAGTCTGTGCACCAGAGCTGCTGTTTTCAGAGGGACAGGTAGGAAGTCCAGTTTGGCAGCATATGCAGAGTAGATAGTGCTGGAGCTGGCAGCAATTTCCATCAGGAATTATGGGGAATACGCAGAAAAAAAGCTAAATTACAGATCATGGGATTGCAGAGGTTCAACTGCTTTTAACATCAGCTGCTGGAACACTTGGCACCAGGACCTCCCATTCCCATTTTGTCCAAATGGGAGCTCTAATGGCCATTCTCATGCCCCAAACACAAACATATCAAACTGGCATTCAGCTAAAACACCAGTTTGGACATGGCTTCAAGTTTCCTTCAGTCCAGGCATGCAATACAGGAGCAAAACCATCTCAAAAACCATATACCAGCTTCCAGTTTAAACTTCTTCAGTGAATGATGGCATGAAAAGAAAATATCATTTGATAAAAATAACCTTTCACATGTCCCACGTTAAAACACACAGAAAACTACATTGTGTGATTTAAAAGATGCCAAACCAAGTTAGCGCTAGCTACCAGAATTACATTCTTGCTAGAAGAGTTGTTACAAGAGAAGAGCCAACACAGTGCAAGACCTTAATACAGATAAAACCTTAAACAAATACTTTAACATCAACATTTCAGGAAGTAATTTAAATACTATAATGTAAAGCAAGTCTTATCGGCTCTGCTGGATATAACAAAAATAATCCAAGAATAATCCAAGTTATACATTTAAGAAGCAAGTAATGCAATCTTTCCTTCTTGTTGCTGCAATAAATGAGACTGAAACAATACCCGGGAGAAGAAATGCATCAAGGAGATGGTCGCGTTCAAGTTTAAAAACATAGTCCAGGGCACAGGGTCCAGCACACTGTAAAAACATGCAGGCAAATGGCATTGCTTCTGGGTTGCGTGAAGATAAGTACTGTAGGATGTCATCAGGACAGAGCAAGGGTTATACTGCAGGTGGGCTCACTGTCACACACTGACCAGAAGTCTGTGGCTCCACACACACACACACACACACACACTGCCTTTTCTCCAAGGTGTCAGCTACCCCCAAAAAACACTTCTCTCCAAAGCTTGCTGCAGATGTGTGCTGAGCCGAGTACAAAAAGTGATTGCGGAGCAGCAATGTGCCCAGCAGACCTGGGGGCGAGGCTGCTTGCAGGGTTGTCAGCACACCAGCTCAAGAGAGGCGGTGGAACAGACTAGCTCAGAGTAACTACTTGTTAGAAGGCTATTTGTTATGGTGACAGAAAAGACGTACAAATAGGTCTGTCCACAAGCTAAGCCTGGAGAAGCTTTGCTGAACACAACTGTATGACAGGCAAATACCTCATTTGGAAGACAAGCGTGCCCAGCACACTGCCCAGCTGCTGCATGTCGTGACCTACACAACAGATTGCTGCTGTACACAAAGGATAAGCAGCACATTAATACAAACTCATGAAATTAAAAAAAAATATTACACCACATGTATATAAAAGGACTTGAGGAATCCACCTTTTAAGAAGAATCTTAAAGAACTTGAGGAATCTCCCCTGTAAGAAGGGCATGTAAACAAAGACATCACCAGATGTAGTGTTTTAACCCTGATAGAGACTGTCATCTGAACAAGAATGGGGATCGCTTCGCTAAGAGACACACGGAAGCGAGATCCGCCGGGGAAGGTGAGAAGCACACCAAAGGGAAGAACGTAGCAGCACTCTGGAGAATGTGAAAACTGCTCTGCGGTATTTTGGTACAGCCCCTCCAACCCACATGAAGAGGCTTGTTCAAAGCATGCTCAGAGAAGGCAGAGAAGACAAGACAACACTTGGCTTACCTAAACATTACTCCTATAAATAACGGATGCTATATTCACATCACTACGATTAAGCATCTGAGCACATTAGGAAACGCTTCTTCTCAGGAGTTTGACCAGGGGTCCTAACAGCATCACTGCCATTCAGGTGCATGAAGACAGCTCTCCTACGGCACTGCAACCGTCTCCGACCTAGCACTTTCACAGGTACGAGCTGGCAACCAGCTTAGTGATTTCTTCCGTTGCTTAGTATAGTGGTTCAGAAGAAAGTAATTAAAGAGGACAGGGTAGAGGTTGCCTTAGGTATGGACAGAGTAAAACTCTTCATAGACGTAGCAACAAAAAAATGCAGGTTACATTTCATGGAAAAATAAACAAAACCAAAAGCTTTCTGCTGTTGGAATGCAAAAGTGAAATCCATTACAGACACGCGTACACATGGACACACAGGTACCTTTCTGTCCATCCACTAACGCTAGTCCCTCCTATACTGGCTGAGAATATACCTGAGAAAAAACATTAGTGTTGAAATATTGCCCTTTAGAAGCTTGAAAAATGGAGGGGAGCAGGGAGAGAGGGTTGAGAGAGAGCATAAAGAAGCGGCAGTCTCTCCAGTTTCCTTCGCATCCTCCACAGCTCAGAACAAGGCCATACACCAGCATGGACACAGCCTGCTCAGAACAAGACCAAAGGAATATCAGTTCACAGCTCTACAAAGCACACTAGTGTCAGTACAACTGGGTTTCAGATTTCAAACCTTGAATCTGAAGAAAGTTGTTGCATTTTCTATAAAGAGACTCCTGTACAAGTGCTATGGGACAGCTGCATTCATGTTCAACAACGACTCCAGCTAGACTACTTGCATCAGTGCTGGCTGCCTGTGGCTATTTGGTTTGATGGCAGAATCAAAAGGCGCTTTAACAACTTGCAGTTAACTTCTCCTCAAAACATACATTAGGCACATGAACAAAAAAACAAGAGCTCAGAATAAATTAGCTTCTCAGCAGAAAAGACACCTGGATTGCAGCATTTCACTGAGGTTCCAGAGAAGGCCGTACAGACACCTGCATGCTGGAAGGTAATTTTTTCAGCGGCTTGTCAGCAGACTGTTTGCCACTGGAAGGAGGAGACTGGACTCCGGGATCTAGCTGGGAAGACTTAGACTTGCGACTGGATAGCAGAGAATGTTTATTCGGTGTGGCATCTTTTGGGACAAGTTTTTCTTTTGTGGTAATGTTGGCATTGGTTTGAGAGGCTGGTGGGACAACACCTTTCTCCGATTTGTCTTCCAGCACATTTTTACTGCCTGACTTGGAACTGCCACTCACTGTCTTTTTTGAAAGCATCGTTGTCTTTCCCAGGTCTGCAGACCTCCGGGTCTCTTTCTGCCTTAAGGCTGATTTAAAGAAAGACAATCCTTTCTCTTCCGACTTGCTGTCCCTCTTCAAACCAGAACGCACTCCAACATTTGGAGACCGCAGGTTGGCCATAGAGGAACTCCGCACATGCTTGCTGTCTACTGCCCTGCTGTCACTCCTAGAGTGGCTTATCCTTGGGGAGCTCGTTCTTGAACTGCTGGTAACACTCGTTTTATCTGACCCCAGACTTATCTTAGAGCCCTCCCTGCTGAGGCTTCGGTCTGAAGTCCGGCTCTTCCCAGCAGAAGAGCCCTTAGTCAATGAGCCTGATGGGGTTTTCTTGGCAGCTGTGGAGGATGGAGAACCACCTGACTTTTGCTTCTGTTGAGCCGACGGGACAGCCACCTCAAGGGGCTTCGTGCTATGGTCCTTCCTAGCCTGAGTGGGAGCAGGAGACCCGTGTCGCCCACTGGCCCTAGAGGAGTCCATCTTACTTCTAGACCGGGAAACTTTCTGGGAACTCTTTAGTGGAGGAGAAGAGTGAGAGACTTTGGTCTCTTGGGTAGATAAGACTGTCCTTCCCTTCCTCAAACTTTTGTCTGGCTCAGAAACTCCCTTGGAGCTGTGAACCTTCTTAGGGGTGCCATCTGCCTTCTCTGCAGCCAGCCCTGTCCCACTGGGGGCTTTCACCTCCTTGACTGGAGAGCTATCCACAGAATCACTCTGATCAACAAAGGCGATTTGATTGTTGTTATCAAAAGGGTCCAGAGCAGGGTGATTCCTGTCTGACTGCGCAGAGCTTTTACCATACCCATCCGAGAGATCTGAGCTAGATGTCCTTACAACAGACTCTTCCCTGAATGCCCCTTCCATGACAGCCAAGGGGGCTCTGCGAGCCGTCCTGTGCTCTCGCCGACTGCCATCACAGGGCTCTAAGTAGCTACTAGAAAGATTCCTCAGGCTGCCGAAGCAAGAGGTGGAGACTTTATCATCAGCCGCCTCCCCAATCTTCTCCAGGGTGGAAGCAGAGGTATGTACAGGGGAATCTCCAGAGAAGCGGGATGGAGAGTTGGAGCGCAACTGCAGTTTTGCGGAGAGCGACCACGAGGGCCTGACACCATTTTCACTCACTGCCAGGGGGCTGGTGACAGAAGATCTAGATGACAAGCTCTGACGCTGGACACTCCTTACAAAGGGTCGAGTTGAAAATCCACCTGCAGAGAAAGAGAGCCATGTCCTCAGTATGAAAGGCAAGCCTGCATCGGTTTATCCCACCCATCCACAGATGATATTTCCCTAAGAGTCAGACAGCCCACCTACACCACATTGTATGCCTATCCCTTTATGCCTGCTGCAGACACAGCTTCTTGCTCAAAAGCTGATTAAGGAATTCAACAACTGTTATTTGCTAGTCATCACCCAGAAGTAACTCTGAAGTTTTAACTGAAAATCCAGTTTTTCCTCTCATCCCTGAGCAGCAGGAGACCAAACACAGGTTGGTGCACTTTGCTTGGAAGTCCTTGAAACTAGCAATGAGTTCACCAACTATGACTGTGCTCCCAGAAATACATTTTTCTGTATGAAAGAATATTTTCCCATGCCATCCTGTAAAAGGCAAAGCAGGGTCCCTACCTCTTTAGATAAAGCCTCTCCCCAAGAAGGACTTGGGGGTATTGATTGATGAGAAGAAGCTCAACATGAGCCAGCAGTGTGCGCTTGCAGCCCAGAAAGCCAACCATGTCCTGGGCTGCATCAAAAGAGGTGTGACCAGCAAGTCGAGGGAGGTGATCCTGCCCCTCTACTCCACTCTTGTGAGACCCCACCTGGAGTACTGCATCCAGCTCTGGGGGCCCCAGTACAGGAGAGACATCGAGCTGTTGGAGCGAGTCCAGAGGAGGGCCACAAAGCTGATCAGAGGGCTGGAGCACCTCTCCTATGAGGA